GTGAGGTAGTTGGAGGTACGACCACGATACCTACACGATGAATATATATCATCCCCCTCATCGTTCGATCTCTTGCTTCCCTTCTCTTTCTTCTTAGTGTTGGAGGATGCAGATGCATCGCAGCCGCAGGCCACCCGTTCTGCTCCCATGTCGAGTCGTGACGAGGTGCTGTGTGGTAGCGGAGTGGAGCGTCAGCACTGGACGGGTGGCTTGATCCAATGAAGGAACGGCGAGAAAGGTATGTAGAAAAGGAAGGGAGGGGATGAGGACTGGAGTCAGACAATTTGTTGACGAAGGAATCGAATGGAGGGAAGGGTGACGTGGAAAACGATTCAACGCGGGACGGAGGGTAGGTAGGAGCGACCGGAGAGACAGCAGAAAAGCCTGGCATGTGTTCACGGCTGCCAAACGTCCTTGGGTCGAGGAACTCCAGTAGGAACACCCGGGGGAAGAACGAAAAGAGAACCTCGTATGAGACGAAAATCCTCGGGATTGTCGATGTATCTCCTATACGATTCCCCGGCCCAGCGACCTAAGGCTTTGATGGTATCATCTCCAGTCCCAACTAATTTCGCCCAGGTAGCAGCTCCTCTTCTAATACTATGACCCGTATATCCCTTAGCGGCTAGACCAATGGCTCGTAGTGCGTCAGAGAGGTAACCGTCGAAGACCAATTTCTTGCTGAACGGGACATTGCCCCGAAGGCGAAAGAGAGGGGCGGATGGAGGGGCGGGGAAGAGAGAGAGGTACTCGTTAAGGGAAGTGATGGGACAGACATCGGTGAACTCTGGTGGTGAACGGGGGAGGGCGAGGGTAGTACCGCTGCGGAAAGGATCGGTCTTGGAGGCAGGGATACGGATTGTTCGGTTCGATGAGTCAAAACAGTCCCGGGATAAGTTAAAACGGGGATCAAATTGCTCGTATGTGAACTCTCCACCCCGGAGGAAAGCTGAGAAGGCGAGCGAGAACGCTGCACAAAGGGCTAGAGCGTTTTGCTGACCACCTACTGACTGAGGGTTGGTACGAAAATGATTGAGGACTTGGCGAAGGATAGGGAGGGTGATGGGGAGTGCTTGTCCGATCTTTTTCCGTCCATGGTACCGTTTTATACCACGTATAATACGTTGGATCGACTCAGAGGTAATATTATCCGTTGGCATCCCGAGGTCAACGTGCCAAGAACGGATTGCGGTGATGTAAACTTTAATCGTGTCCCCATCGATAACACCTCCGAGTGAAGCTATCCATCTTTCAAAGAGATCCTTCGGTACCGGGATGAGAGGGCCGTGGAAACCCTGACCCTGTCACGAGACCAACTAACCAGCATTGGGACGATATAACAGTGCCCTTCAGAGGCAGCGGTCTAAACCACTGTGCTAAAAGGCCTATTAACCGGCGGTTACTGCATACCGCCGGTCGCTGGTTAAATACCCAACCCATCCTATCACTATCACTATCAAACTGTCTTGTCACTTCGTGACATTATGCCTTCCCTTTCAGCCCCATCTGGGGCCCCAACAGGGAAGGGTACGATAGGCCGAAAACTTTCTCCGAGAGGGAGGTTTTCCAAGTAGGGACTGAATTTGACCCAGCCCACCCTGGGAGTCGAACCCAGGATCCTACCCGTAACCGCCGGTTAATCTGTCACGAGACCAACTAACCAGCATTGGGACGATATAACAGTGCCCTTCAGAGGCAGCGGTCTAAACCACTGTGCTAAAAGGCCTATTAACCGGCGGTTACTGCATACCGCCGGTCGCTGGTTAAATACCCAACCCATCCTATCACTATCACTATCAAACTGTCTTGTCACTTCGTGACAGACCCCTGGCGAAGCAGGTCCAGCGTTGGACAGCAGCTTCGTAGCTTCGTCTTGTCGACGCCGCGAGACTGTGGAATTTATAGAACGAGACGAGTGGGTCACCTCCCACCATGCTATACCACGATGGAGGAGGGTTGGCTAGTTGACCAGAGGAGGCTGAGACATAGACGGTGACATAGGCGAAGGCAATGGGGAGAGAGGCAGGAGATCAGGAGCGAATTCGGTGGTGAACGAGGTGGTAAGGGAGGGAGGACCGTAGTCGGACGGGGAGAAAGAAGGAAACAGGTGTTGAATGGCCGTGGTATCGTGTCGAGATAGAGCGTCAGCCAGTTCATTATCTTGAGACGAGACCCAGACTGCCCGCAGGGAGATGTGGTGGACCATGGCAAAATGATAGATCTCTCTGATCAAGGACTGGGTAGGACGATGACGGCAAGAGCCAGAGGAAATAGCAGCGGCCAAGACCGTGTTATCGACATGACAGGTGACGTCGCAGTTGTCCAAGATAGCAGCCCAACAGCGAAGAGCTTCAAGTAACGCGAGCGCTTCGTAGAACATGATGTCGTTACTACGCAGGTTGTGAGGGATTGTAGCTGCCATTACGTGTGAGGCGTTTCGTGGTCCACCAATGTGAGCTCCTATTCCAGAGAGGCAAGCGTCTGACCAAATACTCTTGGTGTTCCGGATGTCCTTCAGCATAGACACTCCATCCCAGTCTGTGAGGACTCTATGCCACCAGCGTAGGTCCCGTATCCCTCCTAAGGTCACACGCCGCCTCGACTCAAAGAACCATTTATCCGCTTTATCACCAGCATCATAAAGGCGACGAAGGAAGGCCCGACCGGGGGGGCAAATCTGACAGATGAAATTCAATTTTCCACAGATGGAGGCGAGTTCGCGGCCAGAGGCAGTTCCTCTGGCAAGGATGGATGTGAGTTCAGAGAGGATGGAGCGACGGCGGGTGGGAGTAATAGACGCGGTGAGGTTGATACAGTCGACCTGAATACCGAGGATTTCGAGAACTTGACCAGAATCCACCTTATGTGGCGCTAACCGGACACCTACACCGGTACAGATGTCCTGAAACACTGAGATAGCATGGTGAGCTTGACCAACAGGGTGTCACGGCTGTCGAACAACTATCTTCTAGTAGACCGACGGTCGACGAACCTCGGCTAACTTGACGCTTGTAAGTCGATGTCTCACCCAACTAGGAGGGCGCAGACGTCGAAAGGAGTGTAACTACGGCGTACTTCGGCGTAGTTACTCTAACTGAGGTTTTGTTCTACTGATGGCGATGTATCTCGATTGTATATAGCTATCTCTATGTCTTTCACTACTGACAACAATCAAGGATCGCTGAAGAACTTCAGCGATCTTCTCAGCTAATATTATCTACTCCTCCTAGACGTTCATCCAACCCTCTCGCGCTTTGACGTACTTCAACGCACTTCGTCCAACTTCCCCGAGCCCTCGGCCATACTCTTCCTCCTTCGACTAACTCCGCCTAACATCGCCGCACTTCTGCTCCCATTGTCCCTACTTAGCCTAACTCCGTCTAACTTCGCCGTACTTCTGCTCCCATTGTCCCTACTTAGACTAACTCCGCCTAACATCGCCGCACTTCTGCTCCCATTGTCCCTACTTAGCCTAACTCCGTCTAACTTCGCCGTACTTCTGCTCCCATTGTTCCTACTTAGCCTAACTCCGTCTAACTTCGCCGTACT